GGGGGAGGGGCAGAGACAAACGAGGCTGCCAGAGCCCAGGGGAAAAACGCTCAGAAAGTGGGGGGAAGGGGCAGGGAGTAGGTCCCCAGGGACAGGGTGGGGAAAGGCAAGCGTTTTTTTTGTGGGGGGACAGGAAAAGGGGGGCAGGGAGTGCGGGGCAAAGAGCTGAAAGCACCTGAGCTGGAGGAGCTCAGAAGGGCATCACCTGTCAGCGGCCATCTTGAAAGGAAGAAAGAAAGAAAGACACTGCAGTTTCAATATATGGCAGCCTGCCACTGAATTAGAATTGGGCAGTTATGCCAAATGGAATCACTGTATAAAAGGCTACTGCCAGTGTAAAATGATAGATCTAGATATATATTCCATTCCATTTAGAATTAGATTTAGATATAGATTCTTGATGAATTGACTTTAGCAGCACTTGTGAATTTGAAAATGTACCTAGAAAAAGTATGGTTTCCAGCAAACAATACACTCATAGTAACCTGCAGTCTGAAATCTTTTGTATCCATTTCAATATTCCACAATAAATATATATTTTACTTCAAGTGAATAGCTTATTACACCAGAGGATTTGTAAAAGACACAGTTGACAGTTTGGATCAGTTCAACCATTGCAGCATATTTCAGATTTTACTAAAAACCTGAGGGTTACATCCCAGGAATATACGGACCATATTCAAATTCCTTTCTCAGCATGGAGATCCATGCCACTGCAGTTGGACTGCTACTTGTATTTGAGCTAGTTTGTCTATAGCTAATTCAGGTATCCCTACACTACAGTGAAAACTGCAGTGTAGATGTACCCTGAATGACCTTTTCATACATGTAGCACTTTACATTCTTCCATAGTGATTCTTCATTCTAACTCTCCAATCTATCAAGAGCTTTTTAAATTCTACTCTTTTTCATAGTATTTGCCATCCTCTCGGTTTTTGCATCATCTATAAACTTGACCTGCAAGCTCTCTATTCCAGTATCCAAATCGTTAATAAGCATGTTAAACAACACTGCACTTAGGACAGACCTCTTAGGAACCCTAGTTGAAACATCCTGACATTGATCCAATTATAATTAGTCTCTGCATTTGTGGAGACATTTATCCACCTAATAGTAATTTTATATGTTCTCTGCTGTAGCAAGGGACCCCTACCATAGTACTGGAAGGAAGGAAAAGCAGTGGCAGGAGGCAAGCTAGGGAAGTGCAGTTTACAGGAAAATAAGTTGCAATATGCAGGTTGTGTATAATTGGATAAAGGATCAACCTTCGTACTGAAAGAAATAGCCAACAGAACAGGGGCAACTTGCAGGAGACCTAGTTACAAAAAAATAATAGGACAGACAGCCTAGGAAAAAGGACTACAAGACTCAGCGTGAAAGCAGGGGAGTGGAAGGCTGTTAATGGAGATAAATAGCAATACCTGGACCCTATTACCAGAAGGAATTGGTCAGATGACCAGATGGGGAGAGGAAAGGGACCACATACCTGAGCCTGGAGCTAGAAGTTCAGACCAGCTCTGACCCTGCAAGAGGAAGGAGCTTTCATGAATTCCTGTGAGAGAGCGCTGGCTTTTGTGTTATAGTTCTCTTTCTTTAGTGTGTACTTTGGAACTGGATACTTTGGGTTATGGTTACAGGAAAGGGGGAGGCCAAGGCTTGAATTTCTGGGATGTACTTCATGTCATACAGGGGCTGAAACCAGGAAGCAGCTTGTAAAGGTCTCAGATCTGGTGGATTGAAGTTGAGAGAGGACCAGGGGCCGGTGTTTTGCCTAAGGAATATTTTAGCCATTTTCAATTTCTCAACTTATACTTTGAAAAATGGCCAAGTAGAGTCTATGAAAAACTTCTGAAGCTCATGTTCCTTGTAAATAAATTTTAACATTTTGTAATAAACTTACAAAACACTACAATTGTAGTAGTACAGTAAAATCTTTGTTATCCAGCATCCACTGGGTAAGGGGATTGCAAGTTATGTAAAAATTGTGGTCATCTGAAATAACCCAGCAGGGGGTTTCAGATAAGGCAGAGTGGGGGGCGGGGGGAGGTGTGTAATGGTAGCTGCACATGGAGCAGCAGCAGCGCAGGGTGGTGGCAGTGGCTGCTGCGTGCGAGCTTCCTCCCCTGCCCTCAACCAGCTGGAAATTCTGGTTAATAGAATTTCTGGTTACTTAAATGCTAGATAACAAAGATTTTACTGTATTATGTATTTCAATGTTTTGCACCAAGGCTATTGACTATGAATACTGTACCTTTTTATAAGAAACATTATTTATACAACTTTTGAAAAATTATATGAATTGGGAATTTGGGTATCTGCTAAGTATAGCTGAAATTCCAGGAGACCACTGAGGCAAAAACAATAAAAGTAAGTAGTGGTGATCCAATGGTAGAACCTCAGATTTAATTTGCCAAAGCTTGGGACACAAATCTAGCACATGATATGTAACCAGATGCACAAAAGAATGTAAAAAAGAATATGTGCAATACCTTCACTTCATTTGTGTGTGTGTGTGTGTGTGTGTGTGTGTGTGTATAAGAGTTGCCCAATTCTAAAATTCAGTGAAATGGATAAGGATCTTCCCATTGACTTTATTAGTCTTTGTATGAGAAACTTTATACGTATGTATGTACATAAATGAAAGATAACAATGCAAGGTGCTATAGGTAGGGACATACTCAAATCATAACTGCAGATTTTGTGGAAATAAAAAAAAAAAAATAAAAACTGAAAATAAAATGTTGGCTCCCTAGTGGTAGCCAGCAGTCCTCATGGCCACTGCAGCAAGGCCATACACCCTGCTGGAGGGGGGTGGTGGGAAAGGGGGCTGCTGCCATGAAGGGGCAGCCACAATGGCTGCTGCTGCCCCTCTCCATTTATTGGTTGAGAGGGCTGCCTGTCATATAGCTCTACCACTCTCCACCAATTGGCAGTGAGGGACAGGGCCACATGAGGAGCATCCCTTCCAGTCAATCAGCAGTGAGGAGTGGGACCATATGACAGACAACCCTCACAACCAATCAGTGGTTAGGGGTGGGGCCACCTGGGACCCTTAGTCTATCAGAGGTGTGGTGGGGCTTGTTGTGATAAACCCATGAAAATGGCAGCCAGCCCCATGATCTGCCCATGAAATCAGCTGCCTGCCTCCTTGATTTGTGTAGACCCCTCGATATGGGGTGATACAAGGTTTATGCTGTATATTTCCAGGTGAATACAACACTAAATTGGAGCTGAGTATTTATATCAGTTTATTAAGGAGAAACACATTACAGGAGTATTGTAACTATCCTCAGACTCAGGAAATTCAGAAATAAGATTGTATTCAACGATAAACTCTGAAGGTATTGGCAAAATGTGGTTATATTGCACCACTGTGCAATACTTAATGTATAATGATTATTTTATATTCCAAAATTACAATAAACCAACTTTAATAGGTTTTTTTTTTCATTTTCTCCCTTATTGTGTCAGTATTGGACAGATAAAATTCTGTGAGAACCTTAACATTCCTTAATATTTGACTTCCATTTAAATTTAGTATCAACAACAACAATCCTAGATTTCTAATAGCTGATTTTCAGATGGTTGCGAGTGGATGTCCAAGGAAATATATATCTGAATCCAGGAAATTTCCAAATTCAGAATACAACTGAAACATTTAAAAATATATTCAGAGACTTAAATCTGTTTGAATCAATGGGACTTAAAGACAATATGTGCCTGATTTTAAACTTGTTCTTAAATATGCATAGGTTATTGCAAGAAAGAAGAAAGGGTAAATGACTGAAGACCACACTCCTTAGAGCCCTGGTCTTGTGCCTTCTCATCTTGTGTTTTCAGCCATATGCTTTCATATAAGCCTGTTTGCATCTGTTTTGAGGCCAAACTATGAATACTGCCAGGTGAGCTAATGTACCCTACTTTTCTTTGCAAGCATTTGAAGATTTCTAAAGCCAGAATCAGCAGTATTGTGGGAAAATGGTTAATGTGTATGGCCATAGATTCTGAGATACAAGTTGAAGCCTCACCTAGCACAAAAAAAAGCTTCTAGTAGTCTTACCTGTAAATGGTATCTGAATACTGGAGCTGGGAAATAGAGGCCAGCTGGATGTGGTGATAACAACATTGTTTCCTTAAATATTCTTCCAAAATACTAATGTAATTTTTTATCATATTAGCACAATGGGCTACCTTGGCCTTAGAGTTTACTGTGACTTCAGATGTTCCTTTAAGAAAGCAGAAGTTCACGGATTATGCCCTGCCACATATCAATATTTAATTTTGTTTTCAAATATAATATGTATATCTAGCAATTGTTTCTCTTGTGCCAACAATGCCCAAACTTCAAGATCTGGATTTATATTTAACCTCTTTTTTCTTTGGCCTGTAATACAATTTGTGTAACCTTGGCTGGGACTGATGCCTTCTGATTGAAATGCCATCCTTTCCAATCTAAAGGTGTGAAATAAAAATGATTTTAATTTAATCTCATAATCAATATATGCTATTTCAAATGGAAGTGATAGAAATGATTTAGAAACATAATTGTCAATGCACAATACTTTGGATACCAGAGACTGATAACACAAATTGTAATTTTTTATTGCCAGATGTCTTTCAGTAACCTTTTATTTGCAAAGCTTTGATACTCTGTAGGTTGCAAAAGCTGTAAAGTCAACTCTGTAGTATAACATTGGAGGTACAGGAAAAAATAAACTTTTTTATGGAAATGTCAAAACAAGAATGTTGTTCTCCTAAGAGCTCTTCATTCAATAAGACAAATAGAAGGTACATGCATTTAAATGTAATTATAAGAAAGTAATGACATTTAGGAAAGTAATAGAAAACTGGTATTTCTGAAAATGACATTAACCTAATACTTAATGAATTATAATAAAAGGTAGATGAGAACAAAAAAATCTATGTTGTTTTAAAAGTCTATCATTGTCACTAGAAAAAATTCTTCCAAAGCATAAGCTTTCTTTCTGTGTTCCTCTCAATTCACCCTAAATTAATAGTACAGAATTATACAGTAAAATTTACCAGCCTGCTCCTGTTAAAATGTGTAAAAGTAGGATCATATTTTTTTCCCCCCCAAATTGGGCTGCATTCTTTCAAATATCAGAAAAAGTGACATTGAAAAATAGGTGGCAAGAAGAAACAATGATACTTTATAAATCATGATTGCATTTGCCAGGTGTTTTAATAAGATAAAGTTGCCTCTCACTGTACAGTAATGTAAGAGTGATGTTGTAGGCACGATAGTCCAGAAATTATGCAAGAGGCAAGGATTTCTTAGGCTGATATCTTTTATTGGACCAAGTATGTAGCAGGGATAATGTTAGACAAGCTTTTGAATGCAACATATTCTTCATCAGGTCTAATTTTTACAACTTACTTGAATTAAATTGGTAGCTTATCGACTATAGTAATTGTACTCTCCCCCAAGGGAGTAGGGTCATACAGTAAGCATCTCTAGAACAGGACAGTAAGTGAATAGAAAGTATGCCCCACTTACCACACTGGTACAAAGAGGCCAGCCCAGGAAATATTGTGTGCAACAGGGGCACAGGGATAGGTGGGAAATAATTGTCTCAGTAGACTGTCTCAATCAGT